AATATTTTTTATAATATTATATAATATAATAATCTTAAATATTATATTTTATTAATATTTTTTTTAAACACATGGTTGAGATGTTTGACAAGATAATCTTTTTATAAGTTAAATTTAAATAATAAGATATCATTGGCAAAAAATAATAATAATAATATCAATTATAAGTTATTTGGTTAATGGTTATAGCTACTACTTTCGTTTTAGAATAATATAGGTAGATATACTTTGATTTTATTTTTATATTAAAAATTTAGAAGTAATTTACATTTTTATTCATTTTATATTTTTATCTATATTAAAATAATTATTTTAATAAATAATTAATTAATTAAAATTAAAAAATAATTACTAGATTAAAATATCAAAAATATTTATTTTCCTTCAAATAGGAAAAAAAGGATTATTATTTTACAATATATTCTAAATAAAAAAATTTTATTATTTTAAAACAAAAGGAATATGAATTTATTTATAGATTAAAACGAAAGAACTCAATGACTCAAGTAATTCAATTATAATATTTTAAAAAAATAATAAAATATTTTAAATTTAAATTACATAACATATAAATAGAATAAATTAAAAAATAAAAAAGAGTTTAAAACACAATAATTAATAAAATATTTTTTAGCCTTAATTAGAATGTGAATGTGAAAATGATGTAAACATTTTCTAATACTTAACTCATCTCATAAAGAAGAAAAAATTGATATATTTTAATTACTTAAACGTATATGAGTATTTAGATAATTTAATATTATAAAAATATTTATATAAATTAAAGGTCTGAATCATTAGAGTTGATAAATAAAGTCTTTTAAATAGCACATTGAAGATGGAAAAGTAGTACGGTCGCTTTCCACTGTGGACTTAGGGTGATGATATGGTATCCATTACCTATTTTCGAGAAAAAGGGTGATGATATGGCACTAGCGCCTCCTCAATTATTAATATTTTATTTTTTTTATTTTAAAAATTATTATATTTTTTATTTAGTTTCAGTTTAAAAATTTATGATTATTATTTTTAATTTATTAAAAAATATAAATATAAATTTTAATAAAAAATATAATATAAAATAAAGCAGATAATCAATCATATTTAAAAAATGTTATTATTAATTTAAAATGAAATAATAATTTACTTTGTACTTAATCTATGTTTTAAGTTGTTTAGAAAATATATGAATATTTTATTTTATAATTTACATTATTTTAATCTATAAAACAAAATTTATTTGATAGAAAAAGACTCATAATATTTATTAAACAATTAATATTTCATCATTTAAAATAATTTAGATTAAAAAATATTTTTAAAAATATATATTTGCATAAATTTAAAACTATTTTTGTAATTTATTTTACCTTTATTATGATTTTTTTGGTACATTATTTTTTTTATTAATCTCTTACTATCCAATAACTATATTAAATCTTAATTAATTTAAAATTAAAATAAATTAAACTTCATTAAAAAAAAACTCTACTAATATTTTTTTTATTAATAAAATTTAAATTTAAAATTTTATTTAAAAAATATCAAACCAAACCACCCCCCACGCTCAAATTAAAAAGTCATTAATATTTTTTTGGTACATTGTATGGAATGAAGAAAACGGCAAACTTCTCCGGGTCAAAATACCTCCTTCTAGTGTCGTGCATGGCACACGCCTTTTGTGGGACCATTCTGATTTTTACCTACGTATGCCGCCGCGTGCGCGTGGTGTCCACCAGATTCCTTTTTGTGCATCTACAAAACTTCTAGGGCTGGTAGCAAACTTAACATCTACTACAATGAAAAAAATAAAATAGAACAAACAGAGACCCCAAAATAAAAAGTAAATAATATATATTTTTTTCAATTTAAATTATATTAAATAACAAAGTCAAAAGTTAAATAAGAGAATAACTCTTGATATTAAATAAAGAACTCACCTCCCTCTAATTATTTAATTTATCTAATTCAATATTTTTTGAACTATATAATACATTTTTGTATATAATATTCAGCCTTAAGGCTAAAAAAGCCAAACAAGGCTTTTTAAAAACTGAAATTACAAATTTCTAATTCCTCTCATAGACTGTCTTGTTTGCTTTGAGAATAGGGAACGAAAAGGAAATTTTCCTATTTAGTTAACATAAAAATTAGAGCAGATGGAAGGGTTTTTCCTTAATTTACTTTATTTTTTTTATATTTTAATATAACCAAACAAAATTTAAAGTTTGATACTCCTACATTTTATTATTTGTTAAAATTATTCATAATGAGTTTTTTACAATCCATTATTTAACATTTTTGCTAATCTTTTGTTCAAAAATCAATTTTCCAACATTCAATTATATTTGATTAGTCAACAACTGGAGTAATCTAATGTGAACTCTTCTATTAGTAAAAGAAAAGGTTTTGTTTTCAAGTTGAATCATATGTTGATTGATTGGGTTAAGAAAATTTTACTTTTATTAATAAAAAAATATATCTCTTATTATACAACTTAGTATTTAAAAAAATTATGTTTTAATTTCATTAAACATGGGCCATATGAAATCTATAAAGGTATAAATGTCTAATCTTATAAGATGTTGGTTTTACATCTAAATAAGATAAAAAAAGAAGGGGCACTATTTTGATAAACTTATATAATTACTACATACCAAAACAAAACCTATTACAATTACTTTTAATTTTGTGTATTTCAGTCTATTCATTAAAAATGTAATTTAGATATTAAAATTATTAAATATTATTAATAAATAAAAATAAAAAAGAATTTTATTAAAGATACATTAAAATTTTTAGTGTTTTTACTATATTTTTATTATATAATTTAACTTAAAAAAAACTTTTTTAAATTACTTTTTTTTATAATCAGGGCTTGTTTGGTGGAACTTTTTGAGATTTTTATATTTTTAGTATTGTTTATGAGTTATAAATTTAAATTGTTATTGAAAAAAAAAATTAAAAGTTACTTTTAAAAATAATAAGAAGTAAGTAAAAAACGAGTAAAAAAAGTTTAAAAAAGTAAAAATTTAAAATTTTTTAAAATTTATTTTTTAAAATTTTTTTAAAATTACAAAAATAAAAAATATAAATTTAAAAAAAATTTAAATTTATAAAATATAAATAATATCAAAAAATTAAAATACCTACAAATTTCACAAACATACTCTAAGCATAGAAGGAAATTATATTTCTCTATTCATTTGGTTTTACAGGTGATATTCATGGCAATATCCTCTAACTCCAACATCTAAGAAATAATTCTAGATTCAATGTACTAAATGCAGGCTAACGTGTCCAGCACAAGGAAGCGAACAGCACGCAACGGCAAGGAAATGACGGAAAGAAGAAAAGAAAAGGGCACGTGTCATCCGACGTGTTCTTGTTCAACGCACTACCTGCAAGTTGCTCGGCACGCGCATGCCTGCGTACTCTACTAATCCACCACACACTCCTCCATATTTCAATCTTTCATTTCATACCTTCAACAACCCTAATTCCAAAATTCCCCCTCCTAATACCCTACGGTTTCTTCGTCCTGCGCTAGTTCCTTCATACTTTTCTCTAATCAAAGCACCTTGATCGCGAGGTAGGGTTTGTTCTTCGATTTCTATGATTAATTCCTTTTAAAATTTCATGCATTTTTGGTCTTATTTTTGTTTCTTTGGAAAAAGGTTTATGATTTGGCTATGGCTAATTCCTTCTAAAATTTCATGCATTTTCGGTCTTATTTTTGTTTCTCCGAAGAAAGGTTTGTGATTTGGCTATGAATATGATCTGGGTCTATTTGTTAATGCTATTGTTTATCTGTACTGTTGTTCTTGAATTACATTTGGCTGGAAGAATTTTTTGTGATTTCATGATTTCTGTCGTTTTCAAATACCATTTTATCTTCAGTTTTCTTGGTAATTAGATGGTATTTAAGTTAATTGAATTCTTTGTTTTGATTTAAATTCGAGATAAATGGTAAACCTGAATTCCATAATGCAATTGTTTTATTATTATTATTATTTAGTGGGTTGCTGAAGTTGATAAGAAAATCTTGAATTGTGGTTTCTTTGGTTATTTTAGGGAATTGTGGTGGTGCTCAATTTATTGATACAAATATGGCTTCTGAGGCTCCTTCTGCATTGGTTGAGGAGGTGAATGTAGCTGCAGGGGAGGCATCTAGAGGCAGGTTCGTACTTGGGTAATCTTGGGTTTGGATACTGGTTATTTTAGGAAGTTTGATTTTAATTCATTGATGTTTTGCAATGACTTGATTTGCATCTGAACTGTGGAGACCAAAAGGAAATATGAATCAGTGTTGTGAAATGTAACTCATAATGACCCCGTGGATAGTTTTAACAAAACTGAAAGGCATGGAATGATGATTATAACAATAGTGTTATTGTGATGATTGGTGACAATTAATATCCAAAATTGCTTTAAAAAAATCTGTTTATTTTCTGATCTAATGTAAGTGGATATAAAATTCTGTTACTATTTTTGATAATTTTTACATAAGGTGATTGATTTTCTGCTTGACGTTATTGTTATGGATCTTCTGAAGCTTACATCTCTTACCTACCAACTAAATGTTGGTGGAGGCCACTGTCAATTTTATTTTCTATCTGAAAGCTGTTTCTGGTGCAGGTCTTGTTCTGGGAAGAACAAGGGAAAGGTTCCTAAGAGAATTCACAAGGCTGAAAGGGAAAAACTCAAGCGTGAGCATTTGAATGGGCTCTTCCTTGAGCTGGCAAATTCTCTTGGTAACTTTGATTCTCGTTACTATTTATCTTTGCCACCATATACTCGATTTAAGACTTACAATATTTATTAATCTTTTCCTTGTGATTGACACATGATTTGATTTGATGGACGTTTTCTTCTTTGAGTTGCCTACAATCATATTTCTTGCCTTTTCCCAAAATATTACATCTGACCTTTATGAAATCTCTTGGACAGAGCTAACTCAACCAAATAATGGAAAGGCCTCGATTCTGTGTGAAGCAACTCGATTATTAAAGGACTTGTGTGGTCAGATTCAGTTCCTCAAAAAGGAGAATTCATCTCTGTCGTCTGAATCTCACTATGTAAGACCCTAAGCTTTTAGCAGTCCTGTGAATGTGAATATGGGTACTCTATCTTTACGTAGTTTTGTGAAATTTTTTCCTATAATTTTTCTCTGCTCCATTTTGTGTCTCTCATCCATTAACCATTCATAAGACCCTAAGCTTTTAGCAGTCCTGTCAATGTGAAATATTGGTACCCCATCTTTACGTAGTTTTGTGAAATTTCTTCCCATATAATTGTCCTATAATTTTTCTCTGCTCCATTTTGTGTCTCTCATTCATTCACCATTCATTCTACTGACTATGAACCAACCTGCATATTCAATGATGCGTCGTTATCTTTGGCTGCATCAGATTTTAATTGTTTAAAATGCTGGACAGGTGGCTGTTGAGAAGAATGAACTGAAGGAGGAGAACTCTGTCCTGGAAACTCAAATTGCAAAGCTGAAAAATGAGATTGAAGCAAGGGTGGCTGGATCAAAACCTGACCTGAATGCTCCTCCTCCTGATTGTCAGCAATTAGAATTGACATCACAATTCAATGGAGATTGTCTTGGTCTGCAGCAAGGACCCACTGTCCTTGTCGTCCCCATCCATCCTGATGTCCAAGCTTACCCCATGCCTGATACAGCACTTGTGGCCAACAATAACTCCCTTGTAAGCAAACCACATGCTAGGTATCCCACTCCAGCGGATTCATGGCCTTCCGAACTTCTTCGGGAGCAGCCAATAATTGGAAATGGGTTTCAACTTAGTAGTAGCAATACCGTAATTTGTAGCACAGGGGAACAAAGCCCAAGTAACTTGTAAATTTTACCATGTTGATTTGTGTAAATTCACACTATTCCTTCCTTGGTTTTGGGTCATTGCCAATGTTCCTTTGGGTAGTTTAAGCATCGCATGATAGGTCAATGGTGAGTTATGATTCTCTTCCATCTGCAATACTTGGAATTATGATTTTTTGCCTTGCCTGATTGTTTTTGCTGGCATTTAGACAAATTTTACCCACAATTTAGCAACTATTGAAATAATGATTTTAACGTGGAAACCAGAGAGGACCAGTAAAATTATTATTGTCTAGGGGAGAGGACTGAGGAGTAGGGTGGGGATGGGGATGGGGATAGGAGCGGGAGCGGGAGCGGGGGCGGGGGCGGGGAGGAGAGGCTGTTCCAACAAGCAACTTATTCGATTGATAGAAGTAGTCTTCTTTCCAATGTCTTCAAATTAAACTTGCTTTAATAAGAGGTCCCATTCTCTATTCTTCCCTTCCTTTCTTTCAAACCAGATATGTCCTTTAGTGTTTGCGTTCTTGGGATGCGAATGAAAAAGTAATCTTTTATGAGTTTTCAAGTCTCAAAATGGATGGCCTATGGACTGAGGGTGATGAATTTAATATGGTGCATGAAAGTAAGGTTTGTGAGATCACGGTTACCACCGGTACAATTAGCCATATTCAGCTTATCAACGTTATTATTATGAAAAATACATTGACTTGTCAAGATACGAGAGGATTCGCTGGAAGTTGTTGGGGAGCAGGCCCGACATCCGTAATCAGGCCCACAAGGTCATGAGGCCCAAGGAAGTAAGCCTTCCAAGCATGCCATGCAGCCCAAGGCCGTAAGCCTTCCAGTCATGTTATACTCACGTGACCTAGGGGGCAAGTGTGCCAATAAGAGAATGACAAGTGGCATCATTGTCAAAACCGGAGATCCATAAATACTCCCAACGACCCCATGGAAATTGCAAAGTAATTAACCCATTACACTTTTCCTTATGCAATAACTCTGCTCCAGAGCTTTTCTTCTTTAGATTACAAAATATTATTAATTTGAGGATAAAAATGTTTACCTCAAGTGCACATCCTTAACCTTTTTAGATGTTAGAGCAGATCGTGATTTCAACAATCGAAGTATGTGGCACTTGGGGCTTCGGCTCCATTGGCAACAAAGCCACGCTAAAAGTGAATTTTTCCTTCCCCAAACAACGGTTTAAATTCAACCTTTGTAAATATGTTCAAAAAAAAAAAAAAAAAAAAAAAAAAAAAAAAATAATGGAAGTATGTGAAGCTGCCCAAACAGAAGTAGGTGGCAATTTCCTCTGATCTTTGTTAGGGAAGAATAATCTTTGCCAGGGAAGAATAGTCTCCCCGCAAGGTGGGAATGGGGGAGTACTTTCCGCTTGAGAAATTTTACGGGGAATTGGTGGGGATCTCCTATTTTTCAAGAAATATTTAAAAAAAAATTAAAAATTATTGAATCCAACCACATTTAAACAGTTGATTTTCGTAGTCATAGGCAATGCTTTTTTTTTTTTCTTTTAATTTTAGTCAATATTAAACTATAAGATAAAAATAACTTGTAAAATAAATTTAATTAATACTCCATCTGTTGCTTTTACTAAAAATTTGTACTAAATTAATTATTTTTAATTTCAAATTAAATAAATATTTTTTAATTTTCCATCATATTTTAAAATCTATTTTATATAATTAAACAATCAAAGATATAACTATGAGTATGTTAGAATTCAGCTATGTAAAATTAACTAATAATAAAAAAGATTAAGGGTGTGTTGGAAATTGCGGTTGAGAATTTTTTTCTATAACTACATAGCACTTTTAGATATATGTGTTTGATAATATTTTTTCAGACTACTTTTCTAAAAGTTACAAAAAGCCAAAATAAATTTACAGTAATTTTATATGTAAAACCAGAAACCTCATTTTAGAGCTTCATGATTATGGCTTTTACAGAAAATACTTGATATTTAATATAATTATAAAATTACCCATTAAAATCTAACTTTATATAATTTAATTATGTCATAATTTATAATATTTTAATAATAATAATAATAAAT